TTCTTTGTGTGTCAATTCTTCGATTTCTTTAGATAATTCTACATTCTATATACAATAGATATAGTAAATATTCAATATACAATGTAATGATATCTAATACCGTAAAAAAAAAAAATTATACCTGTTGCTCTAATAAATGTAGATTATTTTCTGCTCACGATTTCTTGTTTTTGTTGCTTTAGCCTCCTCAAAAATTTCCAAATTCTATAATAAAATATTAAAATTCAGTAAATGTATTCAATACGTATCTTATTAAGCAAAAAAACTTACATGGCGCATTAATACATCAATTTCTCTTTCAAGCAAGCGTCAGCTTTCTGTGTAATGATCATCGCCAGAATCGTGATCCTTTTTAAGCGTGAGATATTTCACATTTAAATTTTTATATTTTTCCTTTAACTCTGTTATCATTTTATTTTTTTTATTAAGATCATTCACAAGTATTTTAATTTCTTCACGAAGTCAAGATTTAAATAGAAACTAAATTTTTCAGTAGTTATTTATAACAAATTATTTTATTTAAAATAAACTTACTTTTTAACAAGTATTGCTACCTTTTCTTTTTCTTTTACAAGAAACAATCAATTGATAAAAAAAGTTAGTAATTGAATAATACAATAGTGTTGCTATTAAGGGCACTCACCAAAAAGTGTGTATTATGCATTGTCACATATGAAAAGTGATGTTAGTACACTAAAGTAATTTTGATCGAAATATAGTTAATAATACGTACTAGCAGCAACTTTATTAACCAAAATATTATTAAGCTGACGAATTTGCTTATTGTTGAATCTATTGATCTCCACTTTTAATAAGCTAATACTATTTTGACATTGGCCAAACTCACCAATATAAGGATGCCTATTTTTTAATAGTAGGTATTTTTCTTTAGCAATCTTTAGCTTATTATTAATTTCATCAAGTTGTTTGAATATATTACTTTTGAAAGTGAAGGTATTGTTATCATAATCATGTTGAATTTGTATCGCGTTTTGACTATGCCTTATTCCTTGTACCATTGTAAGGTGAATATCTTGTAGGTGCTTTTCTAGCTTTTCATTCTTTATGAATGAATAGTGACATCCGGAACTAGAATATTTGAATCGATGACCTGGAGTTTTTTTAACACCATAAACTTTTCTAGTTCTTCTTGGAGGAGACATTTTTCAGGACGAAAATTCTCAAATTCTCATGAACAAACAATCATAACTATTTATAGAAGGGTTAAAACTATGAAATATATAAATTTATTATAGTCGTTAACATTAAGTTAACTTAAGTATAATATTAATCATTATTGTAATTTATTTATTTAAGCAAAATTTGGCATCAATATAAAATATTAATTTTAAAATTTACTTTATTGATATTACTATTTAGGTTTTAAAAAATTTTAAAAAATTTTATGTTTTTCAATTATATTCAATAATTTGTACTATAATTTTTTATGTTGCCTGCTGGAATTACAACAAGAACAGGCTTTTTTGCATGTAATCCAGTTTTCATTCTTGAATTGAAATCGTTAAATATACAGTATTGATAAAGTAAACTGTATGAAAATTATGTAATTTCTATAATAAAATTGAACTTTAAATTAGAGTAGCTTTTATATTGGGCATTAAATTAGTGCCAATTTTGGTTTATCTTTATTGAATTGATACATATATTGAATTCCAATTATATTTTTTAGACATCACTCAAACAAAAATTTACACAATTTCTATAAGAAAGATTATCACTATTAAATATTTACTGGATTTTATTAATAAATCTATATTTAGTGAATAATGGATCACATCTATATATATGAGATTTCATCAAAACTGTTGTATGAAGTTCATCTGATTGAAGGTTTGCATTATATTTGAAGTAAAATAACACGCAACGATAGTGAATTAAGAAGTGTGTAATTATCTTGACAAATAAAACTCATGTAACGAAGTAAAATATAATATATAAAATTTATCGACTTGTAAGGTTGTCATGCTTTATTTAGGTCTTAAAAAATTCTAATTGAGATTAACTAATGATCGAGGATCTTTAAAATTTTGGCCTGCATTACATAATTATTTACTAATTTCTGGCTGGAATTAACTTTTTGATTTTTTTTTCGTTACAAAAATAAGCCCACATTATGGTAAAATTGCCCAGGAACAATTTTTACTTTATTGCAGCTGAAATTTCATTAGTAAAATTATTGAGTAATTCTGGCTGAATTTTTTAATTCTTGAAAACCCGGTTTATAGTAGTGGTCAAAATCTCGTCAAGTCAATTTTGTTAGGATTTGACCCGAAGTAGAATCATGTGACAAATTCTGTCTTCGATTTTAAATTAGGTATTGTTATTATTAAATAGTGACAATATAAATTTTATTAAGTAAAATTTATGAAAATCATGTAATTTCTATAATTGAATTGAACTTCAGTTTTATTTTAAATATGGCTTAAATACATTCAGAATTACTGAGATAATTATTTAGTCAATTGTCAATGAGTCATATGAATTTTTGATCTTTTTTTGGAGCATCACGCAAGCAAAATAAAATTTTACGTGATTTCAACTAGTAAAGATTGTATTAAAAGCATATGATTATATAATTATATATAGATTAATATTCGGTAAAATTATAAGTTGACTCAGCAACTGAGTCATGATTTGGATACAAAAAATTACACATGATTTGTCAAAATTATAAATTTATCAACTGACTCTTGTGATAGTTCAAAATTTTGCATTCACCAAAAGAAATACCATACTTAAATTTTATCTTCATTTCTTTTCTAATTATAAAATGAATAAAAATGTCATTTGAACCAAGGAAATACCCCTTTCTAGCCAATCAAGAAGAAATTTACCATGAATTATATCCAATTTCTTTTCAACAGCAGAGACAGTGCCCAATCCAAAGTGAATCCCTCTCGTCTGTGATCAATTACAAATTAAATTATTTATATTAGATTCAATTGTGATGGATATAATCCCTTACTGGCTTTAATATATGTGTAACATTAATGGTCTCTGCTGTTTTTTTTTTTAGTCATACTTAAAAACAAAAATGCATCTCAAAGTAAGAATTCTAATTAAAATTTAATGGTGAGAGAGAAACTAATTATTTAATTTTGTATAGCCACAATTATTTCTGAATCTTCTGAAGATTTTTCGGATAGCGAATCACCAACAAATGAACTTGAAGTTTGCAAAGTTAACCTAGAAAAAAGTATAAAAAATATTAATGATGATGTTAGTAAGCGTATAACTAACACTGATCAATTAAGTTTTATATATAGCTTTTTACTCTTTCATTTATACTTAATTTGGTTATTTATTATTTTTATCATAATTTAAAGAAAATTAACTATTCAACATTTATTAATTGCCAATACATAGCAATGCTATAATACGAAAATTACAAGAGCAGGTTTTTTGGTATTGTTAATTTTGGTGACTTGATTTATATATACATTAATTTTATCATGCAT